CCTGAGAGCAACTAGAGGGCAGGGACTTTGTTACCAAGGCTCAAAATACACTGTCACTGCTGCTGCTGTTGTTATTATTATTGCTGCTCAATGGCTTAACATCGCTGGACAGCAGTGCTCTAGATTGTGGAAAACTGGCCCTTTCCTATTCCGCAGGTCTGGCGAGGCTCGCCCAGCCCAGGTGTGGACGAACAGTTCTGCCGCCTCCTACTCTTCCTCGTCCCCCTCCTCCTCCTCCTTTTCCTCAGAAGCTCCCAGGAGTTGCTGCTTTAAAAACAGGAGCTGCAGACACGTGGCCCAGAGCCAGGTGCTTAACGTGCATTATCTCCGGCTGCAGTCGAGTCAGAACTGAACTCTCCAGAGCCTTCCACCCCTCCCGCCTGTCTCTCTGCTGGGCGGCCTCTGACACGGCCCTCTGTACTTCTGGGGCTTCCAAATGGGGCTGCAAACCCTCAAAGTCACATCCTGTGAGGCCCAGAAAGGGAGGACTCACTGGCCTGGGGTCCGCAACCCCCTCACCGGGAAGGGCTGAGATGGGCAGAGGATGCTTAGCGGGTGAGCCCATCGCACTTTACATCCCATTCTTAACAGGCTTGGAGGGACAGGGCAGCTCATGAGGAATGCATGGGACCTCAGAGGACACTTGAGGACACTGGGGGCTCAACCTCCCAAGGAGCTGTCCTGAAGGAGGGTCGCCCAGCCTCCTATGGACATAGACTCCGAGGGAGCAGTTCCCCACGTGGGATGGTTCCAATAGCCATCAGTCACTGTGGTGATGACTGTCATCATTCCAGCTGCTACAACAGACATCTGCCCACTGTCCCCAGAGCCTGCAGGCCCAAACCTTTGTCCCCCAGCCTCCCTGCCTGACAGGCCCATCATCAGCATTGCTGGGCCTAAGACTTTAAACCCCAGTTACCATGCAACCGAGTTGCTAGGAGGGTGACCATGAAGCTGTCCCCCACCACACAACCTGGTCAGGAATTAATTAACCAGTTGGGCTTCCACAACCATAGACACGTGGAGGGGCAACGAACTCCAGCAAGGCTCATTTTTGGTAGGAAGGGGCTGGAAAGCAAGTAGTCCTAGGTGGTCATCTCATCCAGGGAAGAACAGCAAGGGACCCCAGCAGCCCTGAGTGAGAGGGACTGAAGTCAGGTCCTGCAAAGAAACTACACACTCACCATGCCATTCAGAACCAAACTGGGCCCCAGCGCCCAGTCTCAGGGCCTTCTCAAAAGTGAGGCCAACAGGCAAGCCCCAAGGTGGTGGCACAGGGACTGCATGCCAATGCAGCCCATGAACATACCTCCAGACCCAGAAAGGGCAGAGAAGACCCCTGGATGGAAGGTTCTAGTTCTCACTCCTCTTCCATGCCCTCATGCCCTAGCAGGGCTCTGGGTGATCTCCCTGGCTTTCCTGCCCACTGAGTTCCCCAACGCAGCTTCCTGGTGGCAGCTGACTGCTGCAGGCTTATGTTAGAAGCAAGAATTCTCTTTGCTTTTCCTTTTTCTCACCCTGACCACTCCTGATTCCCAAACCCTCTAGGCCAAAGAGTGTTCAGTTGCCACTTGGTGGTACGTGGCAAATTATTTTGTGCCTATGCTACCTGTACTGCATCTGGCACGTCGAGGGTGGTCAGTAGCTATTCACAGAAGGAAGAAAGGGAGAGGAAGGGAGAGGAGCGCTTTAAGAGCCCCATCTCTTGCTTGGGGACCCCTGCAGTGGTCACATATTCTATAAGGGGATGGACACCTGCTGAAGAGGAAAGAAGGGGCTCTTCCTGCCGCTGCCGTGAGTTCCTGGCTTCCCCTGGATGCTGCCCGGGTACCATGAATCCTGCCTTCACGTACCCAGCCACTTCCAGAGAAAGCCACCCACAGCAGCCAGCAGCACGTCCACTCTCACCTGAGCATGTCCTCAGTCTCTCCCCATAAACTTGTAACCAGGTGCAATTTACCGTTAGAACTTTGTAAGCCTTTTCGCAGAAACAGCCCCACACATGAGGGAAAAATAGCTGTTGGTCGAATTGTCCTGGAGGTTGGTTCCCAAACAGAATCTTGGTAAGTGGAGGTGGGGCCTTGGAGGCCCAGGCTGGGTGGCCACAAAAGAAGGAAGATACAGCTAGTGAGGTTCCAATTACAACTCAAAAGCCAGGACCCGTCTAAAGATGTGCTTCCCATTCAGACCATCTCAACCCTCCAAACGAAAGGTCAGGGTAAGGGGCCCCATGGAGGCAGGAAACCCCGTCCCCTGGGGCTCCAGGCCCCTCAGTCTCAGGGGCCAGAGAATCCATCCCCAGAGCACGACATCTGCCGAGAGAGGCTAGCTCAGGCCAGCTACACTGGTCTCAGCGTGATGCCACACATCCCAACCAAGGCGGCGGGGAAAGAGGGGGGCAGCACACCCAGATTAGGTCAGACAGACAGACAGACAGACAGACAGACAGAAGGATGACAACTAGCAATTAAAGACTCAGGCAGCAAAAGGACAGGTGCCCAAAGGTGGGTTACAGGGGCCTAAAAGGGGGTGCCTGAGTGCTCAAGGGCTCCAGGGACACCAGGGGTCATGAGATGAGAAGCAATCTGACTGCCTGGGACACACCAACAGTCCACACTTGCAAAGGCTGCAGGGCCAAATCTTGATTGTCCAGATAAAACTACCCAAGCAGGGAGTGGTCTGGGGGGCTCCGATATGAACACTGGTCCTTGAGTGTCTTCATTCGGGAAATGTGTCACTATGGATGTGATGTGAGCCTGTGAGGCCATGAAGGTCATTAGGGCAAAAACACCCAGTGGGGTGACCTCCTCAGACCCACCACAGGCAGAGTGAGGGCAGGAGATGGGGAGGTGCCCTCAGGCCTGGGCTGGCTGGGGGCAGAGTGGAGAGGAAAGAGACTATTCCCACCCTGGAATTCCCACCTTGGCCCCCAAAGCCCCTCCAAGGCAATTAAGTTAAGTAGGAAGAGCCTCAAGTTCAAATGCAAGTGTTTTCGGGTCCCACTGCCTGAGGGTGGGGAGGCCACGAGGGTGCCACCACAAACATGCCCTGGGTGCCCCTCGCTCTCCCGCAGTGACTCATTTCACCTTCAAGGTGTGAGTGAGTGTTTTCCACTATCCCCATTTATCAATGAGAAAACAGGCTGGAGGAGGGCGAGAAATGGGTCCGGATGACACAACTGGTGGGCGGTGAGCCAGGACTAGAGCCCAGGGCTGCTGGGTGCGCTTAACCACAATCTGTGTCCTCGGCCTCCCGATATGCACTATGGGAAGGTTGGTGCCTTAGATTTGAGGTGACTCTGGGGGAAACCAAAACAGCCGCTCTGCCAGGGCTCCTCGCCCTACTTGCTCCTCTTCCTCACTGGCGGGGACAGCCTCCTCCCAGCCCAGGACCCTTCTCCGGGCAAGGAGCCAGCGGAGGGAGGGGGCTTCTGAGCACCCCTTTCCATGGTGAAGAGGGGGAGGCAGGGTGAGGGGGCAGGGGCCGGGCGACTGGGGCGGGAAGAGGACAGGGCGCCTGCCCACCCTGCCCATCCACACCTCCAACAACCGGCCTGGATGCCAGGGGAAGTTCACCGAGAGTTTACGAACCTCCTTTGTCACCGCGCCGCATGGAGCCATCAATCACGCCTTCATTTACCCGGTCACTTTGCAGAGGAAAGCCGCCCAGCGCAGCCAGTGGCGCTTCCTCTCTCACCCACTTGATGAGGATTTCATCTAATTGGTCCACATTAAATCACTCCCAGGAATGCAGGTTCAATTAGCGGCGGGGCTGACGGTGAGGAGGTGGCGCAGCCCTCCCTGGCATGGGGCTGGGCGTCCATGGGGGGCCTCTGGGAAACCCCCGGAGAACCCACCAAGGGGCCTGCCTGAAAGGGGGTCCAGGGGACGGCTGTCAGGGTAAGGGGGAAGGGCAGGCCAGGAAGGAAGATTGGATGGAGGGTGACAGAGTCACCCCTGAATGCCAGGGGAGCCCTCCTGCTCCAGGGCTGCCATCATCTCTCCTCACACACACGGACCAGCCCCACTCTCTGCCTCTCTCCTTCCAGCCACACGGAAGCAGACTCAGAGAGCTGCAACGAGCCTTGCTCAGCACTAACCCCTGACTGTAAATGCCTGAAGCACAGGCCATCTGGGGACCACAGCTGTGCCCGACACCATTCCTCTTGCACGCACTTCCCAAGCACAGCAGGCTTTGTATATGCTGTTCCCTCTGCCTCGGATGCTGTTCCATCCTTCATCTGCCCAGTGACCTCCAGGTTGTCCTGCTAGTACCAGCCCAAACACCACTTACACCACGATGCCCTTTCAAACTCCCAGGGGCAGAAGGCTCAACACGTCCCTCCTCTGCCAGGCCTTCCACTGCCCCTCGCACAGCCACACTGTCCTGCCCTGATCTACTTACAGGAGGGTCTCTCTGACCATCTTGTGAGCTGCATGGGGACCAGGACCATAAGTTTATCATCTTTATTTCTCCATCCAACTTGCTTGGCACAAGGTTGGGGCTCAGTAAATCTCTCTAGAATGAGTGAATGAATGAGTGAATGAATGAATGAGTATCACCTGCCTTAATGCACAGCCTCAGGTAACCGACAGACAAAGTCACCTTCCCAAAACCTGCCAAAGGGCTCTCCTGGGCGTCACCCTGCTCAGGGGAATCTCATCCTGAGAGGACCACAAGGGAATTGGGCACCAGAAAACCTAAGGCCAGAAAGGGCTTCAGAGCTAAACAGGCCTCTGCGTTTAAGTGATGAGAAAACCCAGGCCTAGAGACCCTGGGTGACTGTCCAAGGTCACCCAGAAGTCCGATGACCAGGAGTAGGGTCACACTCATAATCCCAGGGATGTGAGGAGCGCTGAAGCTGGGGCGACCTCCAGCAAACCTCCACGAGCTGATCTCTCTGGCCCATTCGGAATCCTGGGCACGAGCAGGGCACCCCAAGTTCCCGTCCCTGCCTTCCTGCCCTCCCCAGAGGCTGTGCCCGAGCAACTGTGGCATACCTTGCGCTTCTTGGCACGTCCCTCGGCCTGCAGGGTGCGGGTGCAGCGCTGCACACACTCGGAGAAGCTGAGGTTGCTGTGGTCGGCGCTGTAGTCGAGGTCGGCCAGCCGCGCCAGGGACAGGATGTAGTTGCAGGCGATCCTCAGGATGGCCAGTTTGGACAGCTTCTGCCCATACGAGTAGCACGGCACCTGGGGGAAGAAGGTGTCAGGATGGTCTGCAGGGGTCTCTGTGCTGAGCGAGCAACCCCCACACCCGCCTTGGCCTGGCAGGTGTGGGGGCGGCGGCCTGTCTGAGGTACACCCTCCACCCTGATTTTATGATCTGTTCCAAGGACCTGCCGTTTACACACACACACACATCTCGGTGCATCTGCTCTGGGACACTCCACATTCCCATGTTGCAGGGAAAGGAGGCTGAGGCTCAGCCCATTCAATCCATCCAAATCAAAGCACAGTGAATTTCCAACACCACAGTGCTCTGTCCTCCACCCTCCCTGAGGAGGAGTCTCTTTGAAAGAACAGACACTTTTTTTTAGCTCTGATGTTCCATTCATTCATTCAACAACACTTGTTTTGCTGGATACTTGGGGGTTCCAACGATTAATAACGTGATGCCTGCCTTCGGCGAGCTTACACTCAAGAGCGACGTAATGTCGTAACAGAGGTAGGCACCCGGGACTCTGGGAACACACAGGCAGGAAAGTGTCAGTGCTCAGCTGGAAAGACACAAACACATTTGGTTTCCTTTTTCTTTTTTTATCTTTCTCTATAGGCCCTCTGGACCTAGGGTGCTGCTGGGGCGGACAAAAATTGCATAATAAATACTTACAGCTCCAAACAAACTTGACCCGTTTGTCAGTGATTCATCACCAACTACATGCTTACTAATTGCATAGGGATTTGTATGGGGTGAAGATTTGGAGCCTCTAACTTTTTAACATCATCTACCAACATTTGTCCTGCATGAGCAAAATCCTATGAGGACTGTGGCACAATGGAACAGAGTTCTGTGTTGTAATGTGCAAATATCTCCACGAAATCTGCCTGATGGGTGCTAACCAATAGATCCTGCTGTCCCTATGATGTGCTGTCCACCTAAATGGCTAAAAACCCAGCAACCAAGGGTCCCAGTTTCCTTCTCCCTGTGGCTCTTCAGGATCTATACTCGGCATCCATGTCACCGATTGACCCGTATCCCACAGAGATGGGGACCACACGGCAAAGCCACAGGACAAGTGTTTAGTGAGCACCCTCCATATGCCAGGCACTCTTCTAGGCCGGTGGCTCTCAATCAGGAATGACTTTGTTCCTCAAAGGATGGTTGGGAATGTCTGGAGACACAAGGGAAGGCGAGGCTGAGGGGGGAGAAGCCAGGGATGCTGCTAAACACCCTGCAATGCACAGGATCCTGCCCCCCACCACAAGAAATTACTTGGCCCAAAATGTTGACAGTGCCAAGGATGGGAACCTCTATTCCAGGCCCCGGGGATAAAGCATGAACAAGGCAGTCACCTCAGATTGGGGACATCACCCACTCTGATCTCACTTTAAACCTCACTTTGTCTAAGAGCTCTCCCTGACCTCCCCAGCCACACCCTACGCCCAGAGAGCAGCTTGCCCTTCACAGGCTCCAACAGCACCCATCTGTCCTCGACGGCCCACACTGTCACCTCCCTGTGAGTGAGGGGGAAGGCCAGGTCTGCAGAGCCCAGCACAGGCCCTGCTCATACCAGGCTCTGGAAAGGGTCTGTTGATCGAGGGAGTGACCAAATGAACGATCTCCTCCATAACTACTCCAGAATGTTTTGAACTGCATTCAAAAACCTTTCCTCTCTCTGAGGATGAAGATTTAGTATTTGGCATGCAGCCTAAGCACACATACCTTTTTGTCACCTGGGTTCAACTCCTGGATCTGGCTCTGCCTACCTATAAGACCCTGGGCAAGGGACAGAATCTTTCTGAGCCTCAGTGTCCTTGTCATATTGGGAACAGGACTGACCCCCCAAGGAGGCTAAGGATTAAATGAGATGACGTATGCATTGCAGGGTAAGGCCTGGCAGAGGGCCATGAAATTATAGCAGTGGGTGTTGCAGAAGTTTCCCACAAGGGGCATCCAGAGAGGGTAAGAAGTAGGAGGTTTGGAGCCAGGACCCACGTCTGCCCCACCCTCCACCTCCGGGGGGTCCAGAGACTAGGAAACTCAGGGAGGAGGAGGGGGCGACAGAGAGAAAGCCAACTCCCATACATTTCCACACCCCACTCCCAGCCCCAGCTGCGGCTCCAAACACCCATCCAAGAGAAGCTGGCAGAACAATGCACTGTGCTGGTTCCTAACCAGAGTCCAGAAAATCCTGCTTTATCAGCCTGAACAAATAAACAAGGTCTGGCCGTCCTGGGGCAGGGAAGGGGGTCTCGGGGCCAGCCAGCCAGCACTTCTGCCTCCTCCTCACTGAGGGAGGGTGTGCTGGCCCCGGGGGAGTCTCTGGGGACTGGGCACAGATCCGTGACACAGCCCCTAGCACTGTTTTCACTCAGATGCCCTGCTGGGGCTTTCCCGTAAACACCCAGCTGTTTGAGTCCCTGGCCCCGGACAGCTGGGCTTCCAGCAGGGAGCAGGGATCGTGGGAGGGATCTGCACGCTGCCACCCAGGGTCACTGCAGGACTACAGAGCAACAGATGAGGCCAAGGCCAACCTAGGGGCCCCGTGCCAGGTTAGAGGCCAGTTTTGTTCCAGATTGGCCAGGTCTAACAAGAAGAAAACCATCTATTAAGCTCTCATATATCTGGCACTATTGTAGCTACCTACAGGTAGCATTATCCTATTTAAAACCTTCCCCCCCCAAATAAAGATTATTTTCCCATCTGCATATGAGGAAACAGAGAGGTGACTATTGGGCCCCAGATCATGCTGGTTGGAGCCAGAAGCTTGTCTGACTGCCACCCAAGAAAGGCACATGGCCATTGGGCTCCCTGGCTCTCACCATAAGAGGTGGCCATATATGGGACACTAAGGGCTCCTTTCAGGTAGCTCGCTCACTTCCTCCCCCACCTCTGGGGATGGCTCCTCAGAATGTCCTGACACCCAAACCCTAGGATGCAGCCAACCAGCCCCAGATGGCCCAGCTCAGAGGCACCCTGGCCTGGGCTACCCCAGCAAAGCAAGAATCTAGCAACCAGCTCTAAGGTAGGGAGGAAAGAGCTGGTCTGAATTCCAGGCACTTACTAGCAATGTGACTTTGGGCAAGTGCCTCCACCTCTCTCAGCCTTAGTGCCCCCATCTGGGGAGTGGGGACAACAGTGCCGTGTCCCGAACCCAGCTGCAGGGACTAGGTACAGCAACTCATGCCAGAGCCTGTGCAGCGCAGCCCTCTATGACCACTGAGACCTGGGCCGCCTTGCTGTTCACTGTGATCGACTAAGGCCAGGCAGAGGGTGGGTGTTTCAAATGCAAGGTCCATATTCATCTTTTAAGCAGCCTAATGAGGTAGAAATGATCACTTTCACTTTTCAGAGAAGCATGTGACCTCCAGGCACGTAGGAACTCTCTGGATCTCTCAGCTGGTGAGAGATAAGCTAGATTTTGAACTTGTGGGTTAGCTGGGCTCTTTCCAAAGAGCCAGTGGTGTCTGCTCACCCTGATCAGAGGATACAGGCCAGAGGAGGAAGGAGAACCACCTGGCTCTCCCTCCCAACAGACTGCTCAATTTTCAGGAAAGAAAAAGGATCTGCCTCATGCTCATCCCACAAGGACTTTTCAACTTCAGAGGAGCAGGTTTTGGCATTTGCACAAGGTCCCCATTTACCCCCAAAACATTCCATCCACCCACCCCCAGCTGAACCCTCTCCCAGCTCCAGCAGCAAGAAAAAGCAGGAAGGGGACTGACCCGGGAGCCCAAGGGCCTGGCTCTACACCTGGCCACCCATGTGACCTTAGGTAGGTCCAGAACCTTACAGAACCTCAGTTTCCTCACCAATAAAATGGGCATCAGAATGCCAGCCACCTCAGAATAGGACCCCAGCGGGCAAACGTGGGAAAGCACCATAAAGAAACAAAGCCAAGAACCTGCCAGAGAATGCAGGAAAGACCTCGAAGCCCTCCACCCTTCTGCTTCTGTGCCAACTCCTGCCCACCCTTCAGCCCTCCTGGAAGGCCACCAAGACTCCTGGGCCCACAGAGCTCAGACAGTACTATGTCCACTCTGCTGAGCGCTTGATTCCATCTGAAACCATTCTCTAATCACCTTGCGTCAGTGAGTGGTGGATTTCCGGGGCAAAGCCACTGTACCCAGAGCTGTTCAAGATCCTTCTCAAGATCTATTTCAATAGGTCCTTTAAAATCCCAATCTCCTACATAGCCACTAGGCTGGCCCCTGAGAACCTGGGTCTTAGTGGTTAAGAGCTGTAGCCCCAGGGCCAGACAGGCTTGGGTACAGATCCCTGGTCACTCTGTGACCTTGAGCAATTTGCAACCTCTCTGTTCTCATCTGTAACATGGGAAGGTAGCACTATAGATATGCAACAGCATGCCCAGGTAAGGCACCGGACATAACGAGCCTCAACAAGCAGCTACCCTGGTAACTGAGGACACGATGGAATAGGAGAAAGGCCTCTGTCACCCTTAGGTACTTGCGAGTAGCCCAATGCAAGCAGGCCTGTCCCCCACTGCCTGAGAAGATATGCACAGGCTGCCTGGCCCCCCTTCCATATCTCCCCTTTTTTTTGAGACAGAGTCTTACTCTGTTGCCCAGGCTAGAGTGCCATGGCATCAGCCTAGCTCACAGCAACCTCAAACTCCTGGGCTCAAGCGATCCTCCTGCCTCAGCCTCCCGAGTAGCTGGGACTACAGGCATGCACCACCATGCCCCGGCTAATATTTTTAGTTGGCCAATTAATTTCTCTCTATTTTTAGTAGAGACAGGGTCTCACTCTTGCTCAGGCTGGTTTCGAACTCCTGACCTCGAGTGATCTGCCCGCGTCGGCCTCCCAGAGCACTAGGATTACAGGCGTGAGCTACCGCACCCGGTCCATATCTCCCTTTTACCTGTGGGGTTTGAGATGAGGTGCTGAGTGGGGGACATACTCCCCAACCCCCCTCCTGGGCCACCCTGAGTTCACTTGGTGAGGACCCCTGGGAGACTCTAGGAACAGCAGGGGAGGTACAGCCCCTCACCACCTTCCAGTGCTACCATACCTCCAACAGCGCTGAGGGACTTTGAGGGGAGAGAGGAAATCCACACGCACACCCGATACCCCAGGGGGGGCACAGCTTGTGAGACAGAAGGTCCTGCCACTCCAGCCCCTCCTCTCGCCACCCAGAAAGGCCAGCCTTTCCCTCCAACCCCTCCCAGCTGGCAGGGAGCAGCCCTGCACAGGGGCCAGGCCAGCTGTGCACACATGGCCTTCACATGAGGCGGCGGGGAGGGCTCTGGTGCAGCTGGGCTGGTGGCATGTGCTGCAGCCTGACCATCTGCCCCGCACAGCCCCCACCAGGCCAGAGGGCCTCTCCCCACCTGCACCTCGCAGGCGGCCATGCAGCCTGCCCTCCCCTGCTCCCTTCTGGTTGAGAGGACAGTGGATCATGACAAAACAGGAGCCTGCCTGGCTTCCGCACGCTGAGTTTGGATGGCTCCAGGGCATTACTCAGGCTGAGGAACAGAGCTGTTAAAAGCCTCAAGAGCCTTGATTCAAATCCAGGCTGTGCAATGACAGCGACACACAGCTATGCAGGCTGCGACTGTATCATGCCATGGAGGCGCCGCCACACTGGAGTCTGGTGAACAGCACGCCAAAGCCGCGTGCAGCACAAAATACACAAGGCCACAGGCTGTGGCAAAAGGCTAGGACACCTCAGCCAACTTATGTAAGCTCTCTGGACTTCAGCGTCACCGTCTGTGAAATAGGGCAAGGGATGGAGGGGCGTGATAACAATACCTATTTATTAAATGAACCAGTACACATAACATGCTTAGCACAGTGCCCGGCACAAAGTGTCTCATAAATGGTAGTTCCTGTGATTATTACTAAAACGATTAAGGAGTTCCTATTGCTACATCTGTCCGGAGCCTGTGCAGCCTCGAGGACCACGGAGAAGCTTAAGAAATGCTGGTTGCTGTCATACCTCCCATTCCTTTCCTCATTGGCTTTTTGCAAAGAAGCTGTGGACAAGGTAAGTGATATTACCATTTTATAGCTTTAGCAACTGAGGCCCAGAGAGGAACAGTGACTTGTCCACAGCCACACAGATAGCATGCAGCAGAGACATGACTCAAAGCCTGGCCTTTGGACTCCCAGGCCAGTGCTCCTTTCATCATACCAGGAAGCTGCTCAGGAAAATGTAGCCCCAGGCCAGAGCCAGGATCCCAGAACCAATCTTAGCACCACATTGGCCATGGCCCCATTTTGGGCAGAGCCTTTCCTCCCGTCCCAGGACTCAGTGCAAACAGGCAGGCCTGAGCCTAGATCCAGAGCTACAGCCAGTCTGAATTGGGGCAGGGGGAAGGGTATATTTTACAGGGGAGACTGAGGACCAGAAGAGGAAGGAGCTCCTCCAGAGCATGAGACTCCATTAGATGGATGCTGTGGTGGTGGGGACATGGTAGAGACATGGTGGGTGTGGACTCGACCCCTGGCTCTGTGACCAGAAATGCACTATATTTCTTTCCTTCTCAGATAACAGGCAAATATCCACTATGGCCTAGCAGCCTTGTTAGGGAAGGATCAGATGGTTGGGGCAAGGAGGAAACAAATAGAAGCAGGTGCCATGACCATGCACTTGTGTGTGCTCTTGGGCACGTGTCATGAACATGTGCATGCGCATGGGTGTGTGTACCTGTGTGTTTGTGTGTGCATATACAGTCTCTCCCTGAGAGGGCTTGGGTTTCGCTTTCTGCTTAGACACACTGAACTTACTCCTTTTATATGGAACTTCCCACGGGAAGGGTGGAAGTGAAAGGAGACCAGGATTAATAATCTCTGGGAGTCTGCCAAGTGTACACCCAGCTTCGATTATTAACAAACATCATGGGCCGGGTTTGGGGGCAGCCCACAATGCTGATAGGGATGCCACTGTGGGAAGCATTTGGCTAGGCAGGCATTCCAGAAACTGCTGTCGATTTCTCCACTCAACTAGGTGATCTTGGACAAGTCTCCTTCCTTCTCTGGGCCTCATTTTTCATTCCATAAAATGATTTGATCCAATCCAGATACGGATATTATTAAAATCAAATAAGACGGAATTTATTGTTGAAAGAAGCAAAAGTCCCTGGACAAATGAGATGTAATAGGGCACTCAGATGAATATTCTCTCATCAGAACGGAAAGAGGCAGCTGGAAGGGTAGAAAGGGCACTGAATTGGCAGTCAAAGGCCCTAGGTGCCAGCCCTGCCCTGCTACTCACCAGCTGTGAGGCTCTGGGCGCGTGGCCTTCCCAATCTGGGAGGGGCCTCCCTAGTTGCAGGGTGAGCAGGTGGACAGGCATCTCTCTGCCCTTCTGTCATCCTTCTGTCCCAGGGAGTGGGTTGCAGGATGCCCCACAGGCTGTCACCCCTACCCAAGCATTCAGACACAAAACTGCTGCCCCAGGGTGACACTGACTGCTCCACTGTGCCCACTGTCCAGGGTCTCAGCCAGTGTGGCAGCAGGCAGAGGCCCAGCCTGGTCTGTGACAGCCACCTGACGCCCCACTCTCTCCCCACCTCACTGACCAAACATCTCTCCCAAGTCCAAGCAAGACATGTTGACTTGAAAACCATAAGGCCTCTTTGCCTTGAGAGTTCAATTTTCTTCCCATGGACAGACACAGGAACCATTGCCCCACCCCACTCCCCAGGAGGAAGAGGAGAGTATGATCCAAAAAGAAGATCGTGGTTTCTGAAACGTTTTGCTGTTAGCTAAGTATCAAAGGTTGAGAAACTTTCCTGGAGTTATATGGCAAGTCAGCAGCAAAGCATACAAAAAACCCCTCATTCCTCAAACCAGTCCCACCCACCTGCAACCCTTCCCCGTGCTCTGTGTGGGGTGAAGGTAAGCACCTACCACCGTCTTCCTAGATCTCCTGTCTCTCTAAGAAAATGAGAAGTCTGGAACCCCAGGGCAGTGCCAACCTTGTCTAATGTGTACTTGTAAACTGCCCCTCCCCACCATGGGTAATTCTTGGGTTCAGTTCTTCCACCACCCTGGCAGGGCACCCTCTGGTGAGGGAAGCCCCCATCAGCCCCAAACTAAGAAGTCCCCGACTTACCCCAGAACTAAGCTCTGCAGATCCGCCAGAGGGAATCCTCTAACTAACTGGTCCCCTCAGCAGAGCCGCCTGCTTCACCACGGGTTTATGAAGAGTGGGGTGGAAGGGACCCCCTGGGAAAACTCCCACCAGGCAATTCTAGAGGCCACCCCTGGGGAGGGGGCATGGGCTTGCAGCCCAGGTTCTTAAGGACGCCAGGGCCAGGGGTGCAGAACCTAGAATCGACCTGTGTGTACAGGCATCCCCACCGGGAGCTGGGCGCTGCAGAGAGGTGACAGGCTCCCTAGGACAGCGGGACTCACACTCCCGCAACCCCAGGGCTGCTCCACTGCAGTGGTTCCAGGCCTTGCTACCACCAACAGGGGCCCCAAGACCCCTGGCCACGACAAGTGCCTGGAGGGGAAGGGTCGCCCACCCCCAAGACAGATTCCCACATTCCCCTCTCTACTCCCCACCGCTCCTGCGAGACTCTGGGAGACAAATACTCGCTGCCATAAAAGTGAAATGTGAAGGATGAAGTCAGACTCGCAGACTGGGCTACCCACGGCGGGGGACGGCGGGGAGTGGCGTAGGGGGGGGGATGCCCCGGCCAGAGATCTCAAACACCCACACTTTGCAAACTAAGATTCGGTACCAGCGCTGTGGCAAAGTCACTGTCCCCAGGTCTGCCCAAATCTGTCTGGGTCCCGGGGTCGGACCGGGAGGGGACAGCTTGCCCCTAAACACACCCCCATCCTCCCTACAGTCCCCCGACCACTCACCCACCCACTACGGCAATCGCCCTCGGGCGCAGTGAGTGCATGCGGTGCGGAGCGAGTACCTGTTTCCTGAGCGCCTCGAAGGCTGCGCTGATGGTGTGCACCCGCGTCCGCTCCCTGGCGTTCGCCAGGAGCCTCCGGGTCTGCTGCAGGGCTTTGATCTCGGAGGAGGCTGCAGTCGCTTCGCCTGGCCGTTTCCTAGGCGACGCGGAGGAATCCGGGTGGTTATTGTAAATTACGTGTGAAATTGAAGAGTAGGAACTTTCCCCGGTGCGCGTGGGGGGCGCGGGGCGCACTGTGGGCTCTGGGGGCGCTGGGGGCGCGGGGCGCGCCGGCGGAGCGCACAGTAAGATGCGGGGACGCAGGCTGGGCTCCCGGAAAGGCTGTGCCTCGGAGCCCACGGGTGCCTGGCCCTGGGTCGCCGGAGGCGGCGGCGCCTGTGTAGAGAGTCCTGGCCCCATTGCGCCCAGGGCGAATCCGCGTTTCCGCGCATCCAAGACTTCGGGCGCTCGGGAGCCCCCGCGCTCCCCGGCTGTGTCCGCGCCCCCACTTTGGGGAACGGCCGGCGCCACTGGGGCTGGCACTGGGACTGGGACCGGCTGCAGACGTTGGGTCCTGTCCCGCAGCCCGTTGGTGGCGGCGGCGCCGGGCTCCGGCGCTTCCAAGTCCAATCGGAAAGTTTTATAGCCATTCGCGCGCCGCGCCGGCTCCTTGCCTTTCCGCTTGAGCTTCTTGAGGCCGTTCAGCTCCTTCACGCACACGGTCTTCCACGGCCCGTCCTCGAGCACCGGGATGTGCTTCATGGCGCGGACGGCGCGCGAGGCAGGGGCGTGGGGCTGCCCGGGACGCGCGCCCGCCGCGCCCGCTCTGCACGCCGCGCCGCTCTGCCCGGCAGCCGCGCTCAGCACCGCGGAGTCTCTGCCCCCCCCGCCCTGCCCCCCCCGCCTCGCCCCCCCGCCCCGCTCCCCCTCGCCCGGGGCAGCTGCCGCCGGCTCCGCGAAGCCGCCGGGCAGTCCGTTCCCGGAGCGCTCAGAGTGTCATCTGAAGTCGCTGCCGCCGTGCCAGCATTTCTGGAGAACGCCCGCTGCGCTCCATCTGTGTTTGTTTAGCCTCAGTTTACACAGAAGCCCAGTTCGCGAGATCAGTCAGCGCCGCCGCCCGGAGAGGAGGCAGCTCCCGCCGCCGCCGCCTCCCCAGCCCCGGCCGCCCGAGCCCGAGCGCCTTTAAAGAAACAGGAAGCATTTTTCAAAACAGCTGGGCTGCCGGCCGCCTCCTTTGTCCGCGTGCTCCCTGCCTCCCCCGCCCCCCACCCCTCTGCCCAGAACCTGCCCCCTCCCGCGCTCCCTCCCCGCCCCCTACTCTAGTCGGGGCGCTTCCCTTTCCCCCAGGACCGTCTGCTCCTGCACGACCGCCTGGAGCACGTGACTTCTGGGCCCTTCGGCCCTTCCCGAAACCGTGGCGTAGCGGGGCCTCCTCTACCCGGCCTTGCTGGCCTTTCTGGGACACAGCCGCCCTTGCCCCCTCGGCGTCTTCCCGCCCGAGCCTCCACCCCGGGGTCGATGGGGAAAGGAGGGAGTCCGCAGTTGCCCGGCGACCGTCACCCCACAGCATGCGAGGCACCCGTCCACTGTCACACTTGCTGGAGCGGGGAAGTCAGGAGGAAGAGAGGGTTTTAGCCATAGGGAAACTGAGGCTCCAAGAGCTCCAAAGTCACGCGGTGGGTCAAACAGGCAGAGGAGGATGGATGCTTCAGATTTAGACAGACCCAACATCTGTGAGAATCGGAAGTCACCTCACCCCAGGCCCCTGCTAAGCCCAGATTTACTCATCTATGAAATGAGAAATTCGGAGAACATCAATTCCTAAGTGACAGCATTGCTGTGAGGAATTAGAGCACGAGGCACGTAAGAGGTGTTAGCCACTAGCTGAATGGTAGCTGTGGTTATTATAACATTAACTGAGGCAGAACAGCACTTAGAGGCAGGTTTTCTGAGGCTCAAACCCCAGCTCTGCCACTTACTGTGTGACCTCAGGAAAGTCAATTAACCTCTCTGGGCCTCCCTTTCCTCATCTGTAAAGCAGGGGTCATAATCATACCTTCCTCCCAAGGTGGTTGTAAAGAATAATGCAAGGAGCAGAGGCCAACTCCCCAGACCCCTAGTCCTCTGTGCCATTCCACTGGAGGCTCTGGAAACCAGTCAAATTAGAAAGCCCAAAAGGTGGGTTTGGGTGAAGATAGACCCTTGACCCTGGCCTTGAGCTCCCATGAAAAGGCAAAGACTCACACACAGACTGGAGTGCCTGCCTCCTCCAGGGGAGAATGCCTGGGGTTGCAGGAGGAAGATGGCAGAGTGGCCTGCAGCACACAGAGTCCTGGGAGGTGGGTTGGGGTCTGGGCAGAAGGCTCAAGGGCAGGAGCATGGAGCTGGGGCCAGGAGCCCAGGTGGGGCCTTGGCTTTTCAACTGTTGAGCCCCATGACTGTGAACAAGACAGTTCACCCCACAGGGGCTCTGTTACTGTCTTTGAGGATATTTCTGTCCAGACAACTTCTCAGGGTAGTTGGGAAAGTAAAAAGGGATCATGAATGTAAGAGGACTTTAACATAAGCCTTCAAACAGACACACATCGCTGGGGCAGGCGGTTTTCTGACTGTAGTAAATGCACAACCTCGCTAAGGTCAGTGCCAGCATCGTAAAGCATGTGCTTGCTGAGGCACTGCCTTCCCTGGGCACTCACACCTTCCTGCAGCTTATCTCTGTCCTGAAGGCCAAGGCTGTGCCCCAGAGAGGAGCCCTCATTCTCCTGCTTGTTTCCCCTCCCAGCCTGGGACACTAAAATCCTAGCCTTTGCTCATAGGTCTCCCCCATGCCCCTCTGCAGAGCAGACTCATCCTCCCCCTTTGATGACATGATGACAAGCTTCAGTCCCCTCCACCCCCCCATCAGCCTTCACTGATCACCGCAGCTGCCTGTTGCTCTTGCTGGCCTCTGAGCATGATGGCTTGCAAATATCACTGCAACTTACCCAAGCCCAGCTCTGTTGCTCCCCCTGGGTTTGTGAGCTCCTGAAAGGCCAGCTCTTGCCTTCCTCCTTGTGTTCAAGAGTTGGTACTCGGAAAGCCTTAGCTGCGGACAACCAGCCCTCGTGCCCTTTACGGTGGTTCTATCTGGAGACCCAAGCCCTGTGCATCCAGCGTGTCAGTGGCAGAGATGGAGCGAAAGCTCTACCGCTTCTCCAGACCTGCTCAAGGACTCTCTGAGCCTCGGGTTCCTCCTCTGTAAATTGGGGGTGATAATGGCATGCTTCTCAGGGCTGTCAGGATTACATGAGGCTCTACATACAGCATTTATCACGGTACCTAAAATCTAGGGCATGGTGGCCTGAGGCATCCCAGGTTAGCACAGCTGCCCTGGCCGCCTTGCATCCTAGGATCTGCCCCAGACCAGACTCAGGGTGTAGTTGAAGACTGGGGTACCCATGGCAGCTAGGGTGTGTGAGAAGTCTCTGGAAGGACTGATTACCATCCCTAAAGAGGCCGAGCTATGTAGAGGAAATACACGTCTTGGTTGAACACCGAGGGCTCCACTCATGCTGGTCCCGAGCACCTTACCAAGTCCCCCGGATAGAGGAGATGGTCACTGAGACCCCATGCGGTAGAGGAAGGGACGGGAGTGGATAGGAATGGTCAGCCATGCTGGGTGGAGGTACGGCCAGGCTCCCAAGATGCCGCTTCCCCCTCGCCATGCTGCCTCTCCCGCTAGACAAATGCCCGGGCCCTGGAGTTGGCAACAGGCAGGCCTAGGAGGGATCTTCTCTTTGCTGATTACCAGCTGTGTGGCCTTGAGCAGCTGTTTCACCACTCTGTGCCTCGGTTCACTGGGCATTGGTCCCATTTGTCCTAAGATGGAATGGTGTGTTGGGAATAGGAGTCAAATTGTAAAGAGCCCAGCTGATGTTAAGGGTCCCTGCTCCTGCTAGTGTCATTCTCAGCCTGCCAGATCACAGACCTTGCAGGTCTAGGCTAGCTCCCCCCCACACCATCCCCCGTGCCCCACTGTCTAAGGGTCAAACCTGTGTCCCTCTCCCTCTCGGGGCTCTTAATTCTGCCTTCCTCCGCCTTGCTGACAGTCGGGAGGAGGGACCAGCCAGGCAGCGCCCCCTGGTGGTACCACACTGCCAGGACTGCACACAGCACTGCTGTCTCCCCAGGAGGAACTTCTTGCTAATTGTGGACCCAGGAGTGGTGGCCCTGTAATGACGGTATTATGGATTTCACAAATTCATAGAGTTGCCAAGCCCCAAGACTCCAAGTGGGCCCGCCCCTGCCTTTGAATGGGACAGTGCAGACACGACAAGAAAACCTCTTCCCTTCATTAAAAACATCACCCACTGAATTACCTGTTTGAAGTTACCTAGGAATAGAATAATGATGCCACTGGAAGGTTCCATATCCAGGGAAGAAGAATGAAACTAGAAAGGGAAGAGAGGGGAAGAATTTAGGGCTTAGGCCACTGGGAATAGACTCTAGAAAGCCAGGCATTTATTACTGCCCCCTAGGGAGTGACTATAGACTCTATTTCACGAGTCCTTATAATGACCCAAGAAACTAAACCCATTCTATGGATAAGAAAACTAAGGCTCCTAGAGGAAAAAGAGCTTGCTAACAGAAAGGAAATAATGGAAGTGGGATTTGAACCCAGGCCAACTGACCCCAAAACCCATGCTTTGGACTACTGTGCTTCACTGCCTCTTGTAAAAGCTCAGCTGCTAGCATCTGGGGAGGTGAGTAACTGGGCCACCTGTGGGGCTGGCCTCTTTGGCAGCTGGCTCTTCCTACATGTGCTGCCAACCTGGGTGGGCTTCTTTGCTGTCCAACTATCCCAACTATCAAATGCAGCTGCTGGCCTCCCTTGGTCCAGCACAATGCCTCTCTGGCTCCTTCCAGGTCAGGGTCAGGTGGCAGGGGCACCACCTTGGACAGCCAGGAGTCTCAGGCATATGAAGCCAGGATCTTGGTATCCAGGTGCTAGTGCCCTCCCTGCATTGCAGGTAGAACCTGCCCAGCAGTTCCTTGGTGCACGCACACCTGTGAGTGAGGACAGGACAGCTCTGCAGGGTGGCATCCAATGATTACCATCTTCTTGGCTGGATGAGACGGAATTTTGGATCCTTGCTACATGAAATTCTACACTCCTAAATCTGGAGTTTTTGTTCAGGTTGTTCCAAAGTAGGTGTGGTACCCATTAGAGAAAGGAAGATGGAAATTAGACTGCCAGAAGGAAATTGTCCTGGTAGAAACAGACACAATATGAATGGTACCCCCAGGAGTGGTACTCACAACAGCCTCAGATGGGGCCACCAAGGAGAGTGAGAAGAAAGTAGAATACGGTCAACCTGGCGGCCCCCAAAGCCTCTCCCTACCTCCCAGCCACAGTTCCAGCACTGCCACTGTTAACCAGTGGGACACTGGATCCAGAGAACAGCAATGAGACACCCAAACAGGAAGCTCTTCCACACTCACCCTCCAGTCTTCCTTCTCCCTTCCTCTATTCAAGTGTCCTTCCCAATTGTGGAAAATGGAGAGTCTTTAGGACTGGGGCAGATACCGGATAAGGGCACTGCAAGAGGAGAGAGGGAGGCCTCCAGAGCTCCCTTCCTGAGACCTGCTGGGAGCACCTTCTCAGCCCTGAGCACATGCACTGCAGTTCATGCTGCGGATTCCCTGGCAGAGTGCAGTGCCCATGGGGTGGGACTTGTGGTCTTGTGGTCTTGTGGGGCTCTCTGGCTCTTGTGATCAGAGTAGCAGGGGAGAAAAGGAAGGGGGAAAAGTCAAGAGAAAGGTTGTCAGCAACAGGAGAAACCTGGCATCA